TTTGGTCTGTCTCTCAATCCTTTGAAGATACCTAAAGATAATTCTTTTGAATTCCTTATCAGAGAGTTCCAATGCTGCTTCATCCTCAAGGATGTGTTCTGGGTCTGTATCCTGTTCCCTTGTTTCTACCACTTTATCTTGCTTCTTTGTGTGGACTTTGATGGTTTGTTGTTTCCAAAGCATAGTGGTACTGTATTAAGATCTCTGTTAATTGTTTGTGTAGAACAGCCGAGGGTGATTCAGGCTCTTCTTGGTGGTTTTTTTATCGTTGGCCCGTTGGTGGAGCAGGAGGTAGTGGCTCTTGCTCAGTAAGTGAAGTTGTAGGAGGTGTGGGTGTACTTGTATCTTATGGGGACTGTTACTGTCTCCCACTCAAAATTTCAAAAATTAAAATTGAATAACCATCGAAAAGACTAAAAGCACACGGACAAAAAATACACCCTGAAATCACACAGGAACAGTAACCCAGAAAAAGAAAAAGTAGAGAAAAGAAGAAGAAACCAGGTAAATATGCAATATATGGGGATAGGTCAGTAAGAGAAAAAAGGTAGAGAAGGAGAATAATGAAGAACGAAAACTAACAAACAGGAAAAGAAAAATAAAAACCAATGAGGAACAGGGTTAACTATGAGAGAGGAAAAAAAAGAAGGTATAAACTAGGACCTTTTCAGGCATGTAGTGCAGGTCCAGAGAGTTCTTGGGGTTACTGGAAAGCAGAACCACTTTTTAAGCTCCTGGAATCTGGCAGAGTACTGTCTGTTTAGGTTGTCTCTAGCTGCTGGTTATGTGTTGATTTGTTTTGTCTTGGATTTATGGTTTAATATTTTGAAAAGGTGAAGCTGATGTGTTTCATTTTATTATTGATTCAGGTGTGTTGGGTTGCTCTGCTGTTTTCTTTGTGATGGTGGAATCGCTGTGTGTAGTATGGATATGTGTTTCTGTTTTTTGTAAAGAGGGTTTAGAGTTCAAAGTGGGAGGTTTTATGGTAATTGGCTGAATATGGTTTCTTCTATTGAATAAGTGAAGTTATTGGCGGAGAAGGTGGGAGCAGAAGAAGGAAAACTTGGTGTTGCTAGGGTCAGTTTCTAGGGCTTTGAGCAGGCCATTATTGATGACATATTTATTTGCAAGACCGCGGCTCAACCTCAGGAAAGATTCCTATTGTTAGAGCATCGCAAATTTCCACCAATTTCAGGCACACTCAAAGACCCCGCCTCCGCGGCCCCACACTGCCAAAGAACAGCTCCAAGGCAAAATTCGGGGGACCGCACTTAGCTCCAGTTTCTTTGCTCTCTGTGCCCCATCTGCCCGCGGTGCTGAAGCAATCCCACCAGACCACTAATGGCTGGCTCTGGAGTTTGTCTGGGATACCGCCCATCTGTGGCACCAAAGATGTGCGCAATTTCAGCTTGTTGGCGTCGGGGAAGTACCTGCTAGTGACCCGCAGTACTGACATATGTGGCAAAGAAAAGCACGGTGTCTGCCAGTCTGGCCCAAGCCCGCTCTGTGATCCGCTGGGAGGGGAGAGAGCTAGCCTTTCTGGCGCAACAGTGAGTTCTCCACCTGAATCTCAGCAGTTATTCCCGTGCCCGCCTGCACCCAGACAACCCACATTACTGACAAAATCAACTGCTGGAGGCAGGTCTCTGCCGCTGCCCACTGGAATACTGTAGTGGTCGCTGGTATGCAACTATACATCTTCCTCCTTGGCTCGGGGATCTCAGGCGGCCGCCGTTGCCCAGCAGACAGTGACTGCCCCAGGAAAGTTTCCAATGGCCTCTCTCAGGTGCCCATTCATTCTCCACCATTAGCTCTTTCCTAAATAATCTCCCTGTGTCTTTCCTCTAATTCTGCTCTTCTGTATTTGGTACACTCTGATTCAGTGAGCTGTTCAAAGCATCAAAGTTCCTAATTCAAACTGTTGTACCTAGTTTTCCAAGTCCTTAAATGCCAGAGGGAAAAAAGTGTGCTGCTCACTGGCGAGACTCCATTTTGAATTCTAAATCATAGGTTCTTGTGTATACAGAGTACCATCATCCATATAAAATACCATCATCCCATTTCAGAAACAAGATTTTAATATTCAGTACTCATAAAACAGGGATTTCAACAAATGGTGAATTATAACGTGCCAAGATGTGGAAAGCCCTATGGACATATTCAAAGTAAAATGAGCTTACAATATTGTAAACAGGGAACCAGAGACATCAATTGGCAAGTGAGGACAACTACAAACAAAAAGAGGGAAAAGACTGTGTAGTCACAGAATTTCTAAA